CTTTTTAAAAGCACCTACCATAGCTATAACGGCATACCGAATTTTAAGTTCGTGGGCTTATGGTTCCGAAGTTATAGCTGATAAAAATTTTCACGACTATGGGATGTGCCACGCCCCTTTTACAAACCCATTTATTTAAAGCCTACTATAAGCACCTACCATAGCTATGCCTGCATACCAAATTTCAAGTTCGTGGGGCTTGTGGTTCCGAAGCTATAGCTGATAAAAAATTCCACGCCTATGGGATGTGCCACGCCCCCTTTTGTAAACTCATTTATTTATAGCCTACTATAAGCACCTACCCAACTATGCCTGCCCAGGTGTCGTGGCAACACTGTCAAAATTTCATTCGATTCTCTCCGTCCGCTTAGTCTGGAACCTGGGACAAACATACATACATAGGCGTAGCCAGAACGAAATTTTACATAATTTAAAAAGAAAAATTTCAAAACCAATAACTTACTAAAAAATTGTTTATTATAACTTAAAATTATTGTATTCAATATTTGTACAAAAACACATAATCAGAAATTCACAACAGTTGACATAAAACTATTCGTCGATTTAAATAGTTAGGGATTTCGTCGGGACTATAGCACGGTGTGACTGATAAGGTTATAGATCTATTCTCTTCTTCTTCTTCTTCTTCATATTTGGCGCTGCAACCGCCAAAGCGATTTTGGCCGTGCTCAACAAAGCGCGCCAGTCGTTTCTCTTTTGTGCCAACTAACGCCAATTGGAAATGCCAAGTAAATCCAGATTACTTCCAGAGCAGGAGCGTCGGTGTCCATTCGAACGACATAGTCAAGCCAGTGAAGCCGCTGTATTTTAATTCGCTGCACTATGTCCATGTCGTTTTGAAGCTCATACAGCTCTTCGTTCCATAGTCTGCGCCATATACCAGCACGGGCATGATTAGTGACTTATAGACTGTGGTTTTCTTACGCCGAGAACTGCCGAGAACTGCCTATTCAGTCCAAGCTAGTACTTGTTGGCAAGAGTGATTCTGCGTTGGGTTTCCATGCTGACGTTATTATTATTATTTATTAGAGTAATATAAAATATTAAACTAACTTAAAAAAACACACTAGCTACCAGGGCCTACGGTGCGATGTTACTGTTTACAACTCTTTCTTTTGTACGTATCTTTGTCTAAATTTTACATATGTTTTTTTCTTTGCAAGTGCATTTCCATATACAAATTCTGTTCTGATAATTCCGAACTTGTCATATACATCTTATAATATATATTTTATTTGATTAATGTTGGTTAAATTTTGCTGCTTAAATTAATGTCATTGATGTATTTAGCTACTTTTTTAACGTTTCTGAGTGTAATTACATTTAGTAAGGTTGACGGTACAGTGGTACTGAAATTCATTGCTCGCAGTGTCGATAGGTTTGGGCAATCGTCGAGGATGTGTTGGACAGATAGGCGATTTGAACAATACGGGCAGGCAGGTGGAGTTTCACCTTGTAGAAGGTGGCTATGTGTAATCACTGTGTGGCCCAGCCTCAGTCGTGTAAAGTAGGTAATTTCTTTCCTTGATAATTCCGCTGGGTAAAGAGCTTTCGTACAATCAGGATTATTGGTGTAGTAAAAATGCTGATAATGGGACCAGTCTGAAGTTTTTATGTTTCGAAGGTGTATATTTATTAGTTTCTGCAAATCCTTGCTCGGCGATGCATTAAACGTTAGACAGGGAGATAAGTATGCGTTCTTGGCCGCTTCGTCGGCAAATTCGTTGCCTGGAATCCCCTTATGCCCAGGAACCCAAAGGATTTGGAGTTTCTTTTGGTGTTTTATAAGCCTGTCCCTAATTTGGTTGACAATGGGATTATCGTGGTAGATATTTTTAATTGCTGAGACTACCGACATACTATCTGTACAAATAACGAAATGCCCTTTATTTTTCGATGCAAATTCTGCGGCTTGTAGTATCGCGACTGCTTCTGCTGTATAAATAGAACAGTGCAATGGGAGCCAACCGGCTGTTATGAGTGTTCCATTTTGGTGCACTACACCGAACGTTGTACTGTGGTCAGTTTTTGATCCATCTGTAAATATGGGGATCCAGTTGGACATCTGGCTACTGTTAAAGTGTTCAAAGAATAATTGTTTAAAGCATTCCTTACTGGTGTGTGCTTTGGGGTAGGAGTGTAAACACTCGGTTAAAGAAGATTGTGGCAGCGACCAAGGCGCTTGCCTACAAATTTGATTGCACATTGGAGGTATTTGAAGCTCTAGTTCTTTGCAATAGGATACGCACCGACGAATAGTAGATTTGGTGTGGTATTTACGTTTGTGACATGCAGCGAGGCGGAATAAGTTGAATAGCGTTTTATTTGTAGTATTAAAAAACTTGGGGATCAGTCTCCAAGTAGCGAGTTCACGCCGTTCACAAATGGAGGGGAGGCCTGATTCAGCTAACATAGATTTGACTGGTGAAGTGGGGAAGGCGTTTAAGCTGCGTCGAACCGCTGTATGGTATGGCGCTTGCAGAAGTTTTATATGTGTGTCAGCGCACCACCCGTAAATTGGGAGTCCATAATCTATTTTAGATAACATTAGTGATCTCGTTATGTTTATCAATGTGTTAGTATGTATACAAAGGTTTTTTGAAGATAAATATTTTATAATATTGAGCCTGGTAGATAGATTTTTTCTTAACTGCTGGCAGTGGTCCTTGAAAGAATATTTAGAATCAAATATAACGCCCAAAATTTTTAAATTTTTTACATTTTCTATGTTAGAAAGCTCAGCTTTGATATCAATTGGGGGGGCAGCCCCGTTTTCGATAGATGTGCAAAATTTTGCACTTCTCATAAGCAAGGTTGGCTCCAGATCTTAATCCCCATTGTTTGAGTTCGAGTAGTAGCTTTAAAAATTAATTTTTTGTGCATGTTGTCTTTATTTTTTGTATAAAAAATGGCGTCGTCTGCATAAATATTTAATTTATTAGTTTTGTAGTTTAATGTTATTCTGTTAATTTGCTCAAAGGCTATTATAAATAGGACAACCGATAAAGGGGAGCCTTGAGGGATCCCGTTATTGAGTGGGAAGGGTTTTGAGAGCTGACCGTTGATATTCACATGGAATGTCCGTCCAGTTATAAACGATTTTATGACTTCAAATATCTTTTTAACAATTTTTCACGCTTTGAGTTGCTCTAAAACGACATGAATGCCAATGCGATCATACGCTTTTTCGAAGTCGGCGGCTAACACCGTAATGTGGTTTTTAGTTGAGAGGGCATCGGCAATAAAGTGTTGTAGGTCGAGGAGTGCGTCGATGGTTCCATGTTTCTTTTTAAATGCTGACTGGTTGTGACTTATTAAATTATTTTTCGTGACAAACCACATTAGTCTTTTCGTGACCATTTTTTCCAGTATTTTGCTGAGACAGGAGATTAGTGAGATTGGGTGATACCCACTTGTGCTGTCTTGAGGTTTATTTGGTTTAGGAATTGGTAGTATGGTGGCCGATAGCCATGTGTGGGGGTAATGCCCCTCGCTGAGGATTTTGTTATAAAGGAATAAAAGGATACGTTTTGCAGGAAGAGGTAGATTGTGGAGCATGGCGTAGGATATACGGTCTTTTCCCGGAGTTTTCCCTTTAGCATGTTGCAGAGCCAAATCTAATTCTATTTGAGAAAATTCTGTTTCTAGGAAAAGAGCGTCTTTTGTGACTGTGGTGGGGTTATAAACTTCGGTCAAGATTGTCTGCTTTAGTGTATTATATTCTTCGGAAAAGTTAGTGTCTCCGGCGTAAGTACACCAGGTAGAAGCAAAGGCATCTGCAATTTCTATGGAGGAAGTGAGAAGGGAGTTATTATGGCGTATAGCAATAATAGGTGGGGTTGGAATGCCAGTAAGCGTCTTGATTCTTGCCCAAATTTTTTTGGCGATGAGTTGGGGTTAATAGTTTCGGTAAATTCAGATATGGATTTCCGTTTTGCCTCTTTAACGCGTTTTTTAAACAGGGCGTTTGCCTTTTTATAAGCGATGAGGTTGCCAATGTAACAAGAGTTTTTATAAACCTGCCAAAGTTTTTGTTTGTTTGTACGTAATAGACTAAGACTAAGCTCGTTGCTCCACCTTGGTGAGCGTGATTTGTGTCCCTTTGGGTTGCTTTGAGGAATCGTTTTGTTAGCTGCTTTTATAATTATCTTGGTAATTTTGGCTGCTTGTTGGTGAATATTTACATAGTGCCAATCTTGTATTGCCTCTAAACAGTGTGTTTGGAATTGATCCCATTTTGCAAAGTCTGTCAAGAATTTTGGAGAGCTCTTCGGATTATGTACGTTAAAATTATTTTGGATTTCTGTCAGGATTGTGTAGTGGTCGCTTCCGAACATTTCGGACTTAGTTGAGCTGTAGCCATTGTAATATCGACATGGGTGAAAGTTCTGTGTGTTGAAAAGTGCGTGGCGGAGACGTTGTTTAGCACAATCAGATTTTCCGCGAATATGGCATTTTCTAGTTGTGTACCTCTAGCATTGGAAGAGGCTGAACCCCAAAGGGGCTCCAATCATTTAGTGTAGTGTTTGCAGCTGGGTTTGTAGGAGGAGATTTCTTATGGCTATGTCAGAGAATGATTGACTTGGTGGTATGTATGCATTTATTATTGAAAAGGGTGTAAGAAGATGCAGCTCAATGGCTATTGTTAGGATATTTGTATGTATATCTATGCGTTTGTGCGGAATATTGCGTTTTATAAGTATTGCGACCCCCTGCTTCGCATATCTGTTATTACTGTCATTGTGGATTATCGTGTTAGTTACCTGTAAAGGAATGTGGGTCTCTTGGAGGCAAATAATATGGGGATTCAGATCTTTGATCAATTGCTCTAACTCGTTGTAATTGTTTCTATAACCTTTCAAATTCCACTGTATGCTTTTAAGTGACATTTCAATTGTAAATATAATATTAATAACACATTATAAAGCAGTGATTATATAAATTACAAAATAAATGTTAATTGGGATGTTTAAAGCATGTTAGAAGTTGATGTTGTTTACTTGAAAATGTGTTGTTGGTGTTCGTCTCAGTATGCTGGGGCTCCCTCTGCTTGTTGCTCTATTCGTGGTATTTGTTATATTTGTTGTAGACGTAGACGTGTCGATATACATGTGATGATCGGCTTCTTTTGGCGCAGTTTCTGTTTTCGCTGTTTTCTTGCTATCGTGGTCGTTGTGTTGATCCAATGTAACAAGAGTATGTTGTTTTGTTGTATTAGTAGTTGTTGTCGTCAGATTAGTTTTATTTGTTGGCTGAGTGTTGAGTTCTATTAAAAAATTTCGTATGCTCTCTTTACTAGTTGTTGCTTTTACGGTATCTAGCGTAGTTTTGGGAGTTTCTGCTGTAGAGTTGTTGGAATTTGGAAGTTTTGTGTTACTTTTATTTTCTTGTGCTGTGGTATTGTCTTGTATTTTAGTTTTTTGGGCGAATGAAAAGGAATTAGTGACAGTCGTTGGATTTTGTATTTTGTGTAGTTTTAGGGCATCGCGCATAGAGCATTTCTTTTCAGTTTTTATTTTTAGAATGTCTTTAGCCTGTTGATATTTGGGGCATGAGTTGGACGAGGCTGCATGCTCACCAAAACAGTTTGCACATGACGTTCTGATGCAGTTTTCTGGTTGGTGTGGAGGTAGGTTGCACGTCGCGCAGGCGGGTGCGTTTTTGCATATTTTCATTGTATGGCCAAGCTTCTGACACGATTTGCATCGCATCGGATTTGGGAAATATGGTCGCACAGTGCACATTTCCCAGGCTATGTCAATTTTTTCGGGCAAAAAATAAGTGTCGAATGATAGTAATACAACTCCTGTTGGCTTGACGACTCCTTCAGTTATGCGCGTGAATTTGTGGACGGCAGTGACGTTGTATTGCTTGAGTTCTTCAATAATCTCGTCCTCTAGAACTTGAATTAGGAATGGCGCGTATACCGTTCCTTTAACACAATTTAAATTGGGGTGGAGTTCACATGTAACCTGACATAGGCCGGGAAGAGATTGGGTGCCAATAAACTTTTTTTCCACTTCTTTATTTTTGACCAACAGCAATAAGCCGCCATCTCGTAGAGGAGTAATTTTGTTGATTTCTTTGCTTATAGCGAGAAGTGATTTATGCACCGCAAAAATAGAGTAGTTACTTAGTGGTTTGCTTACATCTTTAGATTTTATCACAAGAAACTTGGGGCAATCTTTTTTTGTTACGGGCAATTCTGGGAATTCTTCCGTAATGTTTGATGGTTTTTTGGTTTTGGTTTTGGGGCCCGGGGGCCATCTCACATGAATGGTTTAGTCAAGCACGTGTGTTTGCGACGCACTAGGTGTATAGAAGTAGCAGAAAAAAAAAAACAAAAACACAATGCACTGGTGCGCGATGAGTGTGAGAAAGTGAATAGATGATAGAAAAATTGATAAGCTGTTAAACAAGCGTGACCGATCGCATTGACTGCTAGTCGGTGACTGATGCTGACGTTATTATCGGTTCAGAAGTAAACGAAATTCTCTACTTTCTCGAAATTATAACTGTCAACAGTGACGTGGGTGCCAAGGCGCGAATGTGCTGATTGTTTGTATGAGACAGGAGATACTTCGTCTTGTCCTCGTTTACCACCAGACCCATTCGCTTTGCTTCCTTGTCCAACTTGGAAAAAAAAAATTGTCGATTTAACCGGCATAAGCCAGCGATTGTTCAGTTCTGCAGCTCTCACAATCTTCAGATTAAAGAACTCAATTGAAAGGGAGTCGACCTGTGTGAAACCCTGTTTGAAGGCGAACGACTCGGAGAGGTCTTTCCCAATTCTGATGGAGGGTGGTATTGCTCAACGTCATTTTACACAGCCGTAGGAGTTTTGAGGGGATGCCAAATTCAGACATAGCGGCGTATAGGCAACTCCTTTTATTGCGGTCGAAAGCGGTGTGGTGAGTGTCAATCCTTTTCTCGCGGGTCTTTACCAAGATTTGGTGTATTGTGGATACCTGGTCTATGGTGGATTTTCCAGGTCTAAAGTCACACTGATAAGGCTCAATCAGTTCGTTGAAGGTAGGATTCAGTGTTCCTGTCGAAAGAGGTGTGGTGAGTGTCAATCCAAGATTTGGCGTATTGTGGATACCTGGTCTATGGTGGATTCGCCAGGCCTAAAGTGATACTGATAAGGCTCAATCAGTTCATTGAGGGTAGGACTCAGTCTTTCACACAATACACTCGATAAGACCTTGTAACCTATGCCTAGAAGGCTGATCCCGAGGTAGTTAGTACACATGGCGGGGTCGCCTTTCTTGTGGATTGGGCAGAGCGCAATTCCAGTCGTCGGGCATGCACCTTATTAGCTCCTTGCCATCGTAATTGAATAGCTCGGCTGACAGGTCGTCAGCTCCAGCAGCTTTGTTACTTTTCATCAGCATAATCGCTATTCGTACCTCTTCATAGTCAGGCGCTGGGATATCGACCTCGTCATCGACTGGGGACTCAGCTTCGTCTAGGCGGCACGTTTTTACAACGGTTTATCAACTTCCAATGTTGTTTGTCCAGACCACCATTTATACTATAAATATAGCAAAGTCTAGATATCAACCTAGTCTCGATATCAACCTCGTATCGTATCAAAGACATACAACTAGAAGACCCTAGATGTCGCCCCGCCAGAAGAAGTTAAATATTGCGCCTAAAAATATGCACTACATACGCTAGAGCGGAAATGGACGACACTCCATTTCTTTAAATGAAATTAATTCCTGCTATATGCATATGTTACATATGTATGTATGTATACATTCAACGTGAGCACAAAACATTTTGCTTGCATAGTCTTCTGTTCTCTTTTGACTGCAAGCTGAATTATTTTAATATCTATTGCAAAATTTTATACAGAAAAGACTAATCTAATATTAAATCTAATATATATATAAATATCTGAATATCGATCTCAAATTTGTACTTTCTCTGTAGAAATTTTAGGTCTATGTTATGTAGTTTGACTATTGTCACTTAAATCTAATGCTTTGTATTGCATGCGCTCCACGTTTTTCGTTTTCAATCTCATAAATGGTTTACAATGATTTTTGCTAAAATTTCAAAAGCAAGTTATCAAACCAAATGCTATGGGAATGAGAAAAATTATTTTTTAATTTTTGTCCATTTTTAAAAGCGAGGTATATTAAACTTATTTTTATTTTTTTTTATTTTTCTGCAGCTTCTTGACACTCCTCATCGTACTAGTAATGAGCGGGAAATGTGGTTGCACTGCTCGCGTATGTCGGTTTGTTGAAGGGTGCTCTCTCACAGGAGGTGTGAGAGTCGAGTGGCGAATCCATTGGCCGTCTGTTTTGATTGCAGCTTTTCGTCGTTGAGCTCGCCTTACATTGTTGGGCGCACATTTTTTGCTGCACCGAGGTGGGGTTGTATATTGGCTGCATCAATATAGTGGTGCGAGTCGAGGATTCATGGATATAAATATCCGGACGTTGCGCTTTGAAGCACACGAATCACTTCTGGCCACTCCCAGGTGAATGGCAGTCTAAAGCTTTGCAGTACTGGGAAATGTGCAAAACAGATTGGTCAAAGGCGAATCTTTCAACTAAACCCTGATGTATTGGTTAAATTCATAACTCTACATACCTGTATAGTAAACCAAATAGCCGGACCAGACGTTATTCAAAATAAAAAATAAATAAACTTTTCCACATACTCTGTAATATTGCTCCGTAATTTTGTAAATATATGTAATCTGCGGCCACAGGGCCACCTATCGTGTAAGTTTTTAGTCCAAATATCTCTTTTCAATTGGCTAAATTGTGTTCTAAATATGAGCCAAATCGGAAAGTAAATGAAATTTTTAGGAATATCCTGACCCCAGCGCCACCTAGCGAGCAAATATTTGGTAGAAATATTTATTTATTTTTATTATTATACTGATATATCGCACACCGTCTTCAAAAGAGTCACAACTCAAAATAATACGTTTGTAAGAAAATGCGAAAAACTATTTCTTAGCACATGATAATCATATGAGCAAGGGCGACTTTACTTTAGTTTTTTTTTATCAAATTATAACAAAAACTTGATCCAGCTTTTGCTGAAAGGTAAATAAAAGCTCAGAGAACATTTTTAGCGCATAATCTCAAAAATTGCAAATTTTGAGTTGTGACTATTTTGAAGACGGTGTGCGATATGTTGCAAATATGAACCAAATCGGTCCAGCCGTTTAGTAGTTTAGTGATATACAGTATACAGAAAACCATGATAAAAACATTACAAGGTAAATTCATTCTCTCAATTCGTCGGCCATGATTTTGTTCTGACGTTTGCCAACATTTTAAAATCATATAAAATTGAAAATAAAAAAATTAAATTGTTCACAATTGTTGTTGTTTGAGATTGAAAATGAGAATGTGTGTGTGAGTTTGAGTTTTGATTTTAAAATTATATTGTTGGCAAACGTCAGACTGCCTCTCAATGGTTTTACCTTGTTATGTTTTTATCATGCAGAAAACTCTATGGAATTGTGAAATTGTGACAACAACAACAAAAAGTTTTGCATTTTTTTTATCGTAAAACCATCCACACAGAAGGTCCAAAACAGTACTTTTTACAAAATTGAAATCGGTTCAGCCGTTTGGTCAGGCATCGTCGTCATACAGAAAACATTTAATTTTTATATATATAGATATTTTAGTAAATCTGTCTAACTTACCTGGATCGTTGGGTTTCTGTGAAAAACATTGCCTCAGGCAGACAATTAGTATGAAAACTGCTTCAGATATTAATATTGTTACCTCTAAAGCTGAGGGAATAGAAACAGCTTTGTTGAGAAGTTTTTGTAATATTTCAAATAGGAGTTCCTGTTTTATAGAATACGGCAAAGTACTTTCGAAAACCTGAATGAACAAAATCTCGGTGACCTATATATGTAACATTTATAATTATCTGTATGTCAAAGAGGATATTTGCATTTAATTACCTGGGCCCAGGCATCCACTAATTTTATTGTTCCTCTGTTTTTATTCCTCATTTCATTTATTTTAAGTGCATACATTAATATGGATTCAATTTCTTGCAATATAAGTTTTCTTTGTCCACTTACTACAGTGCCTTGCACGTTGCATAACTCATCATGCAATATTTTGTGTAGTTTTGGTAAGTTAATTAATAAAAGCCCTTCATCGGTGCTTGATTCACATTCATCGAATATTTGCTTGGATAAAGATATATCGAAAAAATCCCATTTAGGATTATTTACATCACTTGACTCAAACATCAACCAGTCCAAAATGTTACTAAGCAGAAAGTTTGGTATATTTTCCGCTTTTGATTTGATGAAATGCTCCATTAAAAGTGGTGATGAATGGGAAAAAAACAACGTTGAATTAATGGACCTCTGGTCTTCAGTCTTATTAGTAGCAGTTCCCACTAATATTTCGCAGATTTGTTGGACTCTACTTATTTGACAGTAGGAGCTTGCTAGTTTTAACTCAATTGCGGTGCATTCCAATAAGTAACTTGTCTGGTAAAGAATATTTGAATAGTGCATATTTTTAAAGGGAAGTTCTTTTAAGTGTCGACAAACGAAATCATTCGAAGAACGTAAATACCGCAGCATTCCTTCTGACGTACGAGTATTTGAGCACAACAAATATAAAAGAAAATAGGAGCTTTTGATGATTTGCTCAAGATCTGCATCATAAGCGTTAGAAATTTTCATTGTCTATTAAAATAAAACATTAATATATATATTTAACACTTATTTTAATTTATTCATGCAGTAGATAAAATTTCATACCTCTAAATGAAAGTCTAACAAAGCTGTGAGCGCTCGTAGACAGTGATTAGTTGCATCGGTAATATTGAGTTTTTGTTTTTCCCCAGCGTCGTTTGCATATTCAAATCCCAGAAGGTATAGCCCGATATTTGGATATGGTTGTAATATGCAATTTCTGAGCAAATCGATGATTACAGTTTTGATTTTAATGTGAATTTTATAGGAAGAGTGGAAGTTATTTGACGTCCACCGCGTAGTATTTGTTATTGAATTTGTTTCCATATCTAAGCAATCAACAAAACCTTGACGAATTTCATCATATATATGTCCGTTGGAAATAAAAACGTCCAATATTTGGCTTGATATATTCGGCATTCTCGACACCATATTGAGTATATTGACAGCAGCAAGCGAGTGTTTAGGTAGCCAGCTACAGTACATTACAAATTTCGTTATGTTTAAGAGATGATCCGGCCGTTGGCTTCTAGGATTAACATCTAAAAGCATTTTGTTTAGGCCAAAAAGTATACCTGGGCTATTTGCGGTAATATGTAAATTTAAAAATTCCGTCTGTTTGATTAAGCCTTCTTCTATTATTGTAAGACTAAGAAGAGAACATTCTTCAAGCACTTCTCTCTCATTAAAGCGTTCATATTCATCAAGATGCTGACATGCGTCGTCGATTATTAAAAGAATAAGATTCAATAAATGAGACTTCTTTTGCAATTGCAGCATTATATAATATCCCAAAGGCGGACTTTCATCTTCCTGTTCTACAAAATCATTAACTTTTGGCTCATATTTTTGAATTATATAATTTACTATCTTCAAGCATTTCCATCCTATTTCCCATTTTTCTGTAGAATTTTTATATTGTCTGTTTAAAGTAAATTGAGAAAGATATATTTTATATGTTAATCAAAGTATACAAAGTAATAAATGAATTAATAATTAATACATAAATGTTTACTAGGACAATCGACCAGCAATTAGTGATGAGCGATACAAATTTGTACAAAGCTCGAAGCTTCCCACCCGACCAGGAAACGTTAGACTGCATCACTCCCCATACCAAAAAAAATCGGTACTCTTTTTCCGTTGGAATTATAAAATCTATTATATTTTAAGACGCCCACCAAAATATGTTGGAAAAAATTAAAAATTTTAGCCAGCTGGATCGATATGAAAATACCTCCAAAAGTAGAGTTTTTTATGAATAAAAATAGTTTCTTAATGATGTTTTCTGAAAAAAGACCCTCAAATGACACAACGGTTGAAGCTTAAAAAATTTACATAAAAATATTTAAAAAATAATATAAAAAAAAAATTGAACGGAATCGTAATAATGAGATTTTTGATGCTATCTTTTAACTTTTTTCACAGATTGGCTTAAGAAAAACTTGAATAACTGAACCTATCATTGGAAAGGTATTTTCTCACCCTTTTTATTTCTTTGCTAATAAGCTCATTCAAAGGATGAAAGAAAAAGGTCATCATTCAAAGTTGAATTAAGATTTGTTGGTACTTAAAAAAAATGGGACACGAATGACTTTTTTGCACATAAATAAAAATAGTGGGAAAATACCTTTCTACCGAGAGAAAATCATTGAAATAGGTTCACTTTAACATATAGCACTCAAAACACATATCTGAGTAAATTTTATGGGAGCTATATGTTAAGGTGAACCTATTTCGATAATTTTAAGGAATAGTTAAGGTAATATAAAAAACAGTCATGTGCAAAATTTCAGGAAAATGACTTCAAAACTGGGGAAGTTATTTAAAAAATAGTTAAATTTTAATAAAATTTTCAAGCACCGTTGTCTCGAAAACCGGAGGCAATCTGGTAAAACGAGGGATGCCATTGAATTTATAACGACCCAATTAAGTGTGTTCAACATTCTAAATCTTTGCTCAAATTCACAACTTGCACAGCGCTATTTGAACCAAACTTTTTTGTTTTCTATTTCAGCGATCTAAATATTTATTCATCGTCTAACTTTTGAAGCACTTAGTTATTTATAAAATAGTTCAAATTTAAGCAAAGTTTTAAGTGCCGCTATCTCGAAAAGTGGAGCAAATCTGGCAAAACTGGGGACGAAATTGAATACAGAAGGTTCCAATAAAGTAAGAGCAACTATCAGAACCTTTGTCGAAAAAAGTTGATTTGATACCTCGCTCGAAATATTCTCGCTACAAGAGCTATCATCGTTAAAAGTATTAAATCAGGCTTTTACACACTTCTAGTGAAATTTTGTTTGAAAAATTTTACAGGTATATGTAAAGTTATACGGACTAGTAGTTACAAAGTGATTTAGATCGGTTTGACATATTTTTCAAATATGCCTGGAATTAGTATGTTTTTGAAATAAGAATTACGCTCAAGATCGAAGAATATTTTATCTTTAAAAGTCGGTATATTCTGAGACCACACCTCTTGCTAAGGTATCAAATCATTCGTAGTACATACTTAAAAGGTTTTTAAAATGAAATGCTTCAAAAACTATACGCGATAAACGGAAAATTCTGAAAATTATGAAAAGTAGTTGTTACACACTTTGAGTTACTTGGCATTTAGTTATTTTTTAAAGCACACCTTAGTTACCAACCACATATGAAGTGTACGCATAAGTACTAATAGCAAATCAAATTTCAAACCAGTACAGGGTGTGCTTAAAAAGTTATGACATAATTGATTTTTCACCTCTTAAAAATTACATAAAAAATTAACTTGATTTTAATATTATTTTTTAATTAAAACACCTATAACTCAAAAGTCATGCAACAAATTGATTAAATTTTTTTGATGCCTCAAGTATACGTCTATGAGTTATATCCAAAACAACCAGCTTAATATAGTTTACAACGATGAAAATAAAGCTAAATAACTCAAGGGTTACCTGTTTTTTAGATTTGCCCATATAGGCTTTAACATAAAAAAAAAAAATAATGAAAAACAGGTTGATAGAAAATGTGCAAAGTCCACATTAAAAGAACAAAATCATAAAGAGAAAATGTAGTAAGTCCCAAAATAGCCTATAAAAAAACAACAGCTTTATTTTGAAATTGGCCGATTATTGGTACTAAACAGGACGAACTAAGGAAGAAAACTGCATTTACAGATTAGGAAAATATTGATATAATAATATTAAAATATTATTCTCTCCTGAAAAATTAAAAAAACATGGACTTAGCACGTTTCCACACTAAGCCAACGATATAGGCTTTCTCTCATCAACAAATGTAGTAGTGTAGTCATAGTTACCAAATGTTTGTTTAAGCAAGCGCTATTTGTTTTGAGAGCGGAAAATATTCATGTTTGTGAGCCACCCCAAAGCACGGTTGCCAGTTTGGTACAATGTTACCAAAATTGGTAACTTTTATTCTCTTTGGTAATTTGGTAACTTCCGATCTCATTTGGTAACTTTCAGACAAAATGCTTAAATACATTCAAATATTTTTGAATATCATACAATATCTGCGGCAGAGTTACATACACACTAGGGCGGGTCGAAAATCTAATTTTTATCAAATCCCTTGGTGATGAAGTCAACAAGCCTGCAAAATATTAGTCTTTTATTTTATTTGTGATACAGTGTTTAACAGTGACACACAGCATACTAGTCGAATAAGACAAATTCTTGTTAAAAATTCTAGGTTCAGCAAAAAGGTTTGGTGCATATTATTAGATAATGAATCCGTTAGCGCTAAAGATAAAGTAAAATATCATTTCTCGCAGCTCCTTAGCTTATCGTTAATCTCAAACTTATACGTTTTTCAACCAATTGTAATTGCTTTGTTGATAATTGCACTGGTCTTTGGTCAAAAGATGCAAAGAACAGCATTCATATTTCTGGGGTGTATTTAGGTCGCTGGTTTCAAATATTCTAATCTTTTTTTAATATTAGCTATATAGTTTGCCAATTTTTGCAAATTTAGGAACAATTTCGGTAGCTCTAATAGAAAAGCTATTATTTTCCATCCTCGTGGAAAAATTTTGTTTATGTAAATGAGTATGAAAACAATGAGCAGGTACAACTTCTAGAAACACTAACTAGTTTACATTTATGCATATAATACAATTGCAAATATAGGAAGTTAACAAAAATTTTGGTTCAACATTTCTTTAATTAATTAAATAATTTTTTTATAATGTAAACGATTTTCATAATATTAGTATCATAAATCAGTAACAGTAAATAAATCAGTAACGACTCCTAATCTTGGACAATACATGTTTGACTTCGTTCGGCAGGATTTTGAAAACACACAAAATCGGCGTGACTAAATCTATGGTCCTTTCCATATTATATAAACATCCGAAAACATGAAAACGTTTGAAATAAATCTCGTTTCTTATTTATATTTTTCATTTGGTTGCTGAAGTAGTGAAGAATTGAAAATTCATAAGGGAAAAATCGTTTTTGTAAGTTTTATCTTAATATCTTAAAAACTTGTAGTCTTATTAAAAAATGATATATGAACGTGAGATATTAAATTTTATAACCTTTAATTTGATATATCGCCCTATTTATAACAATTAACGCATTCCATAGATATTGCGAGCCAAAGTTCCCTTTTCGAAATTCCTACACTTTGAATCAATTGCGCGGGCTAAAGATAAATTTTAAATTAATATTTCGTTGCCAGTAACAATTGGGTTAAATTTAAGACAACATAATATTACTATTACAAATGGCTTTTATTTACCCCCACATAAATTCTACCCAGCCTAATACACACAGCTAATTTCTTATTGAATGAATTTGTTTTTGTTGATAGATTTATGACTATACACATCTGCCATGAGCAGCTAGGATCATAGTGTAGCCTGCGGTCTTTCAAATTTAGAAGCCTCTACAACGCCTCGTATTCATGTTCATGTTCATCTTCATCTTCATGTTCATCTTCATCTTCATGTTCATCTTCATCTTCATCATTATCTTTATCCTTGTCTTTTTATTTATCTTTAACTTTGTCCTGTACTTCATCTTTATCATTCATCCTTCAATACGGTGGCTGTGGTTTTGTCGTTGTCCTTATTTTTGTTTCTGCCCTTGTATCTTGCTCTCTGTATTTTCATTACCCACCAACAGTGGCGTTAAAAGTTCAATGCAGCCGCTCCCTGTATATTCACAAGCGCGCATACGCATACGTAAAAATTAATTTTTATTTTCTGAGCAAAAAATAAAACTCAAGAAATAACGATTATTTTCCGATCAAAAAATAAAACTTAAAACGTAACCGAGCAAAAAACGTAACCATTACTTTCCGAGCAAAAAATAAAACTTTATTATTAATATTTTTATTGAGCTTTGTACCACGATTGTTTATTAGGAAAAATTGAGAAAGCAACAAAGTCTAAGCGGTAGAAGTATAGCGGCTATTTCGGAGATCATCTAACTTCTACCGCTTAGACTTTGTTGCTTTCTAAATTTTTCATAATAAACAATCGTGGTACAAAGCTCAATAAAAATATTAAAAATAAAAATGTTAATAAGCCACAATAACAATGACAAAACTTTATTATTTTCCGAGCAAAAAATAAAACTTAAAACCTAACGATTATTTTCCGAGCAAAAAATAAAACTCAAAACATAACGATTATTTTCTGAGTAAAAAATAAAGCTCAAAAAATAACCGTTATGTTTTGAGCAAAAAATCAGTTAATAACGATTAAGAAGTGATTTTTATAATAAAAGTTATAACCGTTAGGGTCCCTGGTTAAAATTGCTTTAAAAAACAGAGAAATTGGTCATAAAATATGTTTAAATTTAACCAAATAAAAATACAAGGAATTGGTCCAAAGGGGTGAAAATCTATAAATCAATGACTTCACTGGATCACGACTTTTAATTTTTGTTCTGCTGCTTTGAT